TATTCGGTTAATTTTATTTATTAATCGTGTTAAAGATAATAATTAATCTCAGTTCATTTATTTAATAAATGGACATCAGTGAGTTGGAATTAATTATTCCAATGTTGACGTTTAATTGAATCGAGAATATTCAATTAATCGTCGAAGTTAAGTTCAAGTCAAATATTAAGTTTAAGTTAAAGTTCGACCTTTAGTCGATATGATATTCAGTTTAATTATTTCAGTAACCGAACAAATTTTCAGATATAAATCCAAATTATTTATATAATAAATGAGTTTGTAATTAATAAGTTAAGTCGAGGTAATATTCGAATTTAATTTCGAAGTCAAGTTCCGACCGAAATTATATAAATTCGGTCAAAATAATTCAAGCCCTAGCTAAGTGTATACTTGAAAATTTTCAAAATAGTTCCGACCGAATTTCTAAGTCATTATTCTTAAAGTTGTTGAACTAATTTCCTAGTTCAAAGCCTTAAGCCGTGTGTCATATATACAATGTAATTAATGCCAAACATTAAGCTTTAATTGTGGAGCTATGTGAATTTAATTATTCCTAAAATTCTTATTAATTTTTATGGTTGGGAATATAAGAGTAAAGGATAGTAAGACACCTAAGTGCATGAATAAGCTATATGCTTAAGCACTTAGGTGAACACGTCCCTTTACCAAAATTAAACTTAAGGGAACACTTGTTCACTTCATCTTTAACCCTATTATGTATACATATATGATATGTTCGGGATTTAGTGGAGTTTTACTCAATTCACTTAAATATCCAATACTTCCTAAGTTATAGCCGAGAGAATAAAGAGAGTACCGAGTATAGCTAGCTCCGGTATATTAGGTGTAAATGAGAAAGGTTTAAAGAAGAAGGAAGTTAGCTCGTGCAAGTCCATTGTCGGAAAGCCGAGCACGCACATAATTCACGCGAGCGAGCGAACGCAAGCCTTAGCACCTTTCTCACGAGCGATCGGAAAGGGTATGCTCATATTTAACTCTCTTTTATTATTATTTAAGTCATTTAAGGAATGTCATGTAGAAGTCATGCCATTTGAATCATGTTCTATGTAAAAAATGTACTCAGAAGTGCTATATAAGCCTCTTCCGAGCCATGTCAATTTCCAACTGAACACTCCCGAGCAATTCATGTATTTTTAGTCATATCTCGTCATGTTATATTGATTCAAGTAGCAATTGTCGGTAAAAGTCGTCGGACGGCCGACAAGGGCCTGTCGTTATGTCCTGCCCGCACGTAGCGGGTGCAGCATGCCCGGCGGTAGCATGTGAGTTCTTGCGGGTGGCTCGTGTGCGCCCAGTCGTGCGTCGCACGTAGCTCCTGCCCACAACATTCAACGGCTCATTGGTACCAGATGTGCGTAGTTGTGCCCAGCGCACGCCAGTCACGCACGCCAATCACGCACGCCAGCGCGCGGTCCGCCTGCGTGCGTTTAGCGTCCAGCCGTGCGTGTAATCGCTAGCCAGCCAGCAGCACCCAGCGCACGCTAGCCAGTTCCAGTGCACGCCAGCGTGCCCGACAGCGCGCCAGTAGTGCCCAGCAGGCCTCGGCCAGTGCCCGGCAGCACGCCCGAGCGCCCAGTCACCCTAACATGCGCAAGCAGTGTAGCCCGCGTGCCCAGCTGTGCTAGCACACGTAGTTAGCGTGCCCAGCCGCCTGCCCGTGGCGCACAGCAGCGCCCGGCAGTGCATATGAGTGCCAGTGCCGTAGCGCCCGGCAGCGCCCAGCACCCATGCCTGCGATGGGCCAGGCACATGATGTGTTCGATATACCGTACGGAACAGAGTTTGCAGCGGAATTTAAAAATTTTATAAGTATTTATCTTATAAATACTTATTCCGTACTTAAGTATAACGGGATAACGAAAAAGCATCATTCAAAATCTAGTAACTTTTACTAATTTTGATTTGATATGTAATTTATAAAAATTACCTTTGTTCTTGAACTCCTTCAAAACCGACGATGTATGAGGAAATCAATTCCCGGTTTAGTAACGATCACTTCTTGTGGTTACTCACTTTAGGAATTCAAATGTCTTCCCTCTAATCGTATCCACCTTTTGAACTTTGGTTCCGACTATAGTTTCTTCGCTAGTAGAAACTACTCGGTTTTTCAAGAAGTATAGAATATAGACAAAATAGCTCGTTATATCACGACCTTTTACCATATTGCTAAAACATCACCACTTTTAGACCTTGGCGGAGAGTGTCACAACCTTTGATTTCTTTGCAAAACGATACAAGAAAGTCAGAAACCGGCCATCGTTGATACACCATGGGGGAAAATTTGTAACTATTGAGAACAATAAGGAGTATTTCAGAGGTGATGATACTTGCATACTTTTGTGAAATGATATTAAATAATGTAACGATGGCCGGTTTTCGACTTTCGTGTATCGTTTTGCAAAGAAATCAAAGGTTGTGATATTCTCCGTTATGGTCCAAAAGTCATGATGTTTTAGCAATATGGTAAAAGGTCGTGATATAACGAGCTATTTTGCCTAGAATATATATATTTATAAGGAAATTTTTCAAGAACACTTTCTTGTATTATCACT